TGCTCAACAATGCGCCTACTGTAACAAGTCCAAGCCACATTAACGCGAGTGGTGCGAATAGTCCGGTTAACCGAGGAGATGTTGTTGTTGCACCTTCTCCGACCTCAAGTTCATCATCCCCAATATCCACGACCACTTCAAATAATTTAAATTATTACGATAATCCCATTTTGCACATGTACACTCAAAACTTCAATTATTAATTAGCTTTAATTTTAATGGGATGGATGATGAGAAATATATTAATATAATCATATATGTGATGGCGGTGATTGGAGTCTATGTTCGGGCTTTAATAATAATATTTAGCGTGGTGTTCAAAGAGTTGGTTATCTCTTATTAGTAATGGACAATGGATTGTGGATTGCCAACTAGAACATGAAGAAAAGGGAAGCAGGCCCTATCCCTTTTGGAAGCATTTGATGGGTTATCCGTACACTCTCCTAATTTCTTAATCGTAATGTACTCAAATCATTTTTCTTAATTCTTTATTTTTACCCCATTTATCATATACATATACATACATATACATATATATACTTCAAGCGTGTGTGAACTTAATTTTCATGATATAATGACTGCAGAAGTTATGAATGTTTTCTGCAACCAAAAAATTTCTTTTTAACGATTTTTTTTTTTCTTCTTTAAAAGAAGGCTATGACAAAAAAAAAAAATTTAGCACGTGTGTGTGTGTTTTTTTTGTTATGGACTTTTTTTCTTGTACATAAATTTGTACACTGTAAAAATTCCAATCACCTTTTTTTACGATGTTACATCATCATAATTCTTGTATTTTTTTTAAAAAAATCTTTTTTTAACCATCATTATTATATATACACTTAACGGTTATATAAATATAAATATATTACTATCTTTCATTTACTTATTCTATAGTACCTTATTTTACTTTACTCAACCATTTTATTTGTCGATTACATGCTTGTTATGTTTTCGTTTCTCCTATTTTTTTTTTCTTTTTATCCTCATTTTTATTATATACATATATATTACTTTACATCATATATTATTTTATTACAGCGATATGTTGTTTTAAATACATCATTATCATAATCATACAAATAAATATTGGGTATTTCCTTTCCTTTTTTTTTTAAGATTCTATACATATTATTATTAACATCATATATATCAAACATACCTTTTTATATATAAACTTATCCTCTTTTTTTTTTCTTTCTCCTTCACTTCTATCTTATTCACTTCTTTTTTTTTACACTTGAAGAGATTTCATCATTGAGCAGGAGAATGTATCCTAGTAGGATACTAGTTATTGTAGTAGTAGTAGTCGAATGACGTTATTATTGGAAGTGAATAATGTAAAAGAAATTTATTTGTGAAAGAAAAAAAAAAAAAAATTAATTAAAATATATCTATTCTATCTACCATCTATCAAATTTTGGGTGTAATGTTTGTTTTCGTGCACATGAACGTAAATCATTTTGATCCTGATAAATAATGCAAGAAATATTTTGGCATGTGGGTAAATAAAACCTTTTTTTTTTTTTGAAGGTAACCACTCGAGTACAATGATAGCCCCATTTCGAGTTGAAAGTAGTGTTTCCCTTCCCACAAAAAATATTTTTTCTGTACGATACAGACATCGTCATATGGTTAATACAAATTGTTTTTTGGTTACCTCATGATGATTTCATGTGTAACACTCTTTTAATTCAAAATTCCTACATTTGGCAATTCCTAATTGAACTTTAGCAATCGAACGGTTTTCTCTCTTGTTTAAACTTTAGGGTGACGGCGCACAATTAAGTAAAAAAAAAAAACCGATTGGGTAACGGGTTTTGAACGATGGAGTGTAACCTTTGTATCGAGTTTCAATTTCTTTGATGATGATTTCGTGTCTCATTGTTGAAGGTACTCTGACCCGGAATTAAAAATTATACTTGAACATTTATAGTAAGATTTCCTGAAATGAAATTAAATTATATTTCACTCGCATTTTTTTTTTTTATATGTACAGTAAGTATATATATTATATTATTATTATTATTATTATTATAATATTAATTTTTTATTCTATTTATTTATTTATTACGAATGAATGTGTATTATTATTATTATTTATCATATTGATTAATACTTAAAGACAAATAAAAAAAAAAAATTAAATCAAAACTACATGAGCAACAGCAAGTACGCATTTGAAGTAGAAGATAGATCTTTATTTTTTTATTAAAAAGGAAAAATGATGTAATTTTCATGATGGTTATCACGTGAATTCATATATGTAATAATAATTCCTAATATTGATTTTAATGTCATGTAAGAAAATTTCTCGATTGCTGTAATCGCTTGTATTTTAATTTATGATAATGTTATTTCAACATATTTTTATCATCATTAATAACTACGTCACAAATAAATACAGTACATTTTCAATTAAACCTCAAATATTACTTTCTCCGTTGATTTATCTACTTTTCTTATAAAAAAAAAAAAGTCATATTTATGAAAACTTCAATACTATACATTTTTGATAAAAAAAAATTATATATATATAATAACAGTAAATTAACAGATCATTTTTTATTTAGAAAATTATTAAGTAAAAAAATCATAATTAGTATTTAATAAATATTAAACGAGAATAATTTACTAAATAAGAATAATTAAAGATATATTTAGAATAAAAATGAAATATTAAACTTTTAAATTTCTGTTGCATCTATTTATAATTATTATTAAATAATTCACTTTATTAAAAATATAATATTTATTATATATAATCTTGCAATAGAAAAGAGAAAATAAAAACAAGTTAAAGTTAAATTTGAATCACACGTTGACCTAAAAATCATATTTGATATATATAAGTAAAATTTATTTTTTTCAGCAGTTTTCTTTTTTTCTATTGCAAAAATCTTATATATTATATTAATTTATTATATAAATCTGAATTCAAAATATCTATTTGTAAATTATATGATAATATTTAATTAAATATCATCATAGATTTTATAATAATATTTATAATTACATTACAAATTTTATTTTCTTACAATCAAAAATCTTTTAACTGAGCAGTGTGTAATATCAGTCAATTATTTTTTACTATGATCAATTTGAAAATTTCCAATTTTTCGTTATAAACCTTTAGTATTATTTATTATTAATCATTTACTATTTGATGATTTTGCTAGTATAATTAGTTACTAATCATTTATTTTATTATTATGACAAATTGTAAATTACTATTAGATAATATTATTTAATATAGTTTAATAACTAATTATTAATTTATTTATTGAAAGTGCATTTTTATAATATTTTTTAAACTATTGTCACTTTTTTAACAATTGTATTTTAAAGAACTCTACCTTTCGCAAGTACTGATAGTTGTTCAAGAGAAAGTAATTGATTACCTTTGAATAAAATATTTTGTGTTATTTATATTATCAAAGAAAAAAAATTTTTTTGGAAAAAATAAGACATGTAAAATAAAAAAGAAATATCATTGTTTTTATGAAAAATAGTTTAATAAAGCTAAAAAAAAGTCTAATAAAGTTTTTGAATTAAACTATTTTGTGTAAACTAATAAAACAGTTACTTAGCACTATGTGATCTCATAACTGTGACACTACCATACCTTACATGTATTTGCAATAAAAATGCTAATATATGACAAAATTTATTTATTTAATGTTGCATAAGTTTACAAATCATAGACTTATTTACTAAAATCTTTCTTTACTTATATAATTTCAAAAATGTGACAAACTATTTAGATTTTTATTATTTTTAGATTTAATAATATTTTAAATACTCCTTTTTAATTTATGCTGATCATTATAATTTATTGGAATAACTTGAAATAACTGAAAATATTTATATGACAGTTTTGTATTTTAATTATTTCTCTATATTATAAATAATATCTCTTATCTGAATTGTATATTAAGAAAAACTTAACACCTTTTTAATTTATATAAGAATTATAACAGATCATTATAATTTATCATAAGACTCCATTAATAATATTGATATCTCCTATCTGAATCATATATTGAGAAAAGCTCTACATCTTTTTAATACTAATTAAACTTTGTATTAAATGTGATTAAAGTACAACTAATATATAATTATTAGAAATAATTTATATAATAAATTAACTAATTGATATATTTGGTAATTTAAAATTTTTATACTAATTAAACAATATATATCTTTATATTAAAAGTGATTAAAATATAATTAATATATAATTATGTAAGAATAACTTCTTTTTTTTAGTATTTTAATAAATGGTTATCTGTAGTATCTAAATTAAAATGTATAACTCCTTTTATTAGTAAAAATTTTTATTTAATTAATAAAAATATTTTTCTTAAATATATTAAAAGTTTTAATAATATAATTATGCAAAAATGATAATTTAAAAATTTTAAACTCAATTTAAGTATAATTAATATATAATTATATGAAAATGACTCTTTATTAATAAAAATTTTTGTTTAATTAATAAAAATATTTTTTTTAAATGTATTAAAAGTTTCAATAATATAATTATGCAGGAATAATTTTTATAATAACAAATCTGCACATATACATATATTATATTTGATTTCAAATTTTGACTTTTATAATAAATATAAAGATAATAATAATATGATTTAATAATTTTTTTGTGTATATAAATATTTATAAATTTTTTACAACTTACTCATTAAAAAAAATTCAAAAATATTAGCTAGTATGATGTGATCAATGATTTAATTAATTTAAGATATGTTTATCAAAAAGATTTTGAAAATGCTAGTAATAATAAATATGCCAGTATTTAGGATCAAATATCCTAAGAAATTAATGTAAATAATTCTATATAAATCTTTGAAAGACAGTGCCAAATTAAGTAGAATGTATTAGTTTATAATTATGAAAATATAAAAAGAATTAGAATAAAAAATCCTAAATTAAAAAGTTCTAATAGATACTATATGATATAAAATTTTATGAAATGATAAAGGATGAATTTTGGTTAACTCAAAGTAATTATAATAATTTAATAAATTTATTATTTGTTTTATTTAATATATATATTAATTAATTTTTATTTTTAGATCTCATAAGAAGATCCTATATTAAGTAACGAGTAGACAGAAGACAGTTAGAGTTTAAAAATTGAAGTAAAGGAAGGAAAAATAATAGAAAAAGAAGTAGTAGTAATTTAAGTAAATCAAGAAGTGGAAGAAGAAGTAGATCAAGAAGAAGCAAATCTAGAAGAAATAGATTTAGAAATGAATCAAAAAGAAGAAATAGGAGGAATAGGAAAGATAAGAAGAGTGATAGGAGAAGAATAGAAAAAAAGATTAATTTTAATTTTTTTTTATTTTTATTTTTAATTTTAATTTTTGCAATTTTTTTTTATTTTTTTTATCTTTTTTAGTTATTTTAATTTTTTATTTTAATTTTAATTTTTGTAATCTTTTTTTATCTTTTTGTTTTTTTAATTTTTTTTTATTTTTTTTTTTGTATATTTAGTATTTTTTTTCTTTGTTTTTTTATTATATTTTTTTTAAAATAAATCATCATGCATTATGCATTGTTTAATTGAAAAACTAATATTTACTTTATATTTGATAAACTTGACACTGTGATTGATTTTCAATTTATTATTGATATATAAAATTTTCTAATGTATGCAAATATTTTATCAAAGTGTAGATTTAAATATGTAAAAAAAAATATTCAATGACTAATACTTTAACTAGCATGATATAACATCCTTTTATTAAATATGAAAATCTGATATAGATCGTTAAAATATATAAGTTTTTAAATATAAAAAATTAATGATTTACTTAATATTATAATTACCGTATACTTTGCAAAGTACTTTGACCTTAATATTATATCATAAACTTTGTGATAAACTTTGATCATAGTATTTTATAAACTTTATAGATTATAAAACTTGTGATATTTAATCAAAAAATGTATGTATAATTTTCATATGAATATGCATTATTAGCATTAATTATGCAACTTTTAATCACTGATTGCATTATTATGCATAATTTATTTTAATTTTTAAAAAAATAGTAATTCCATATATTTCATATATTTTTATTTATTTACGCTATATTATTCATATTTTTTTTTACCATGTTTTTTTTCTTTTTTTTTTAAAAAATAGAAATTTTTGTAATTTAAATATAGAATTATTATAGGATTAGATAATTAATAGAATCTAAAAAATATTTTATTTAATTTTATGACTTTTTTTGTATTTTTTTTTGTCTCTTTTAAAAAAGTTGTCATCATGAGATAAAAATTAAAATAAACATGTTTTTTCATTTTTTTGTAATATAATATTTATTTCTTCTTTTAATAAAAATCTTGCTTGATTATAATCATATTTAGTTTTAAAATCTATTTTTAATTTATTATTTTTTTATTTTTCTATAAAAAAAATTAAAAATAAACAGAAGAAAAGTTTTAACTTACCAAACTCAAGAATAAGCTGAATTAAACAAAAGAACAAAAATCTTAAACTTTAAAGAGAAGCATATTGACAGAACATTTATAAAAGATATATAAAAGTAATAATTTAGTATTTTTTTTTTAAAGAAATACATATAATTTTTTTAAAAAAAATTTTTTTATTTATATACAGTTTTGACAACAATATTGAAAAAGATATTAAATTAAAATGTGAGGTTCAATACTAAACTTGATATATTAATATCAGATCAAAAAAAACTAGAGGAAATAATCATAAAGTTGGAAAAGGATTATACAAAATATATAGGTATTGATAAAACTTTTGAAAAAGTAAGAATTGTTTTATATTATTTCAGTTTATATTTTTTATGTAAAAGTACTGATATATATTATATACTAAATATAAACTATACTTTATTTTAAATTATTTTATTATAGAATCTGATTAAAAATATAGCAAAAAAAATACTAACTAAATTAATATATCTAATACAAGAAAAATTATGAGAAATTACAGAAGAATATATATCAGCAAATTACTTTAAATTTTTTGATAAATTTATCTAAAAGCGTTAAATATCTTTTTATGAAAAAAATATTTATCATACTGTCTCACTAAATACCGTAAATATTATATCTCTAATTCATAATGTTAAAATATTATGAAGGTTCTGATGTTGTTTTAATAATTATTAATAAGTATTGAAAATATTAAAATTATATATAAATTTATCACATTTATATTTAAGTGAGCAAACTTACCTAGCTACTATAAATAAATACTAATGTAGAGATTCAAAGTTAAAAAAAATCTAAAAAATTAAAGAAATATCAGATTAAATTATTTGTTCTAATAAAAGAAAGTAAACGAACTATCTACTTAACTTATATTTTAAATAAAGTTTGGGAATTTAAGAAGTAAATATCATTTCAAAAACCTATACCACTGTCATATGTAAAATTCTTCTAAATCCTAAAATGGTAAATATACAAATTTTTGAAAAAATTGTTAAATTGCATATGAATAAAATTTTAATAAATTTTCTAAACTTACTAATATATTAAATAATTTAATTAAAAGATACTAAAACTTATAAATAAATTAAATATTTTAATTATAATTTTTTTTATTTAGACAAAACTTGATAATGATGATAATGCTTAGAGCAATACATCAACCACTTCAATCACTACCTTAAATATCTTTAACACCTCTGATTATATTATTGACAAAAATAATGTTCATAAATGTAATAATAATAAATTTGATGAAGATAATGACAAATACAACAATAAAAATGATGACGAAGAATTAATTTAATAATGTAAGTCATATTTATTTAATATAATTAGTATTTTATTTAATGTTGCGTAAGTTTATATATTACTGACTTATTTTTGCCAAAATCTTTCTTCAACATTTTCAAAATGTATATCAGTTTTCTTTTTTTAGTTTTTTGAAAGGAAAATGGATTTTTTTTATTTGATTATAATAGAATTAATGAAGGGAAATAGACTTTTTCATTAATTCAATGTAAGCCATATTTATTTATATAAAATATTTATTTAATGTTATATAAGTTTATATATTACTGACTTATTTTTATCAAAATCTTTCTTCACTTAAATACTTTCAAATGTGATAATATTATTAATTAATAAAAAAAGAAAATTTTACTTATTTAATGAAATAAATCATAATGTTAATAAAAAATAAGTATTATATAAATGAACAATGATTTACTAAATTTTTCAAATTAATTACCATTAATTAAAATATTAATAATAAAATCTATAAAATTTTAAGAATTTATCTGTTATAAACCTTTAAAGTATTATACATTGTAAACTTTAGAGAATTCCTCTTCATAAATCATTAAAATATTATGCATTATATATTTTCAAAATACAGTCAACTCTTAATATAGCGAACTCTTAATATAACAAATTTTTTGAACAAATATAATAAAAATACTCTTGTTATAGCGAATTGGCCAATAAAATCTCTTAAAATCTTCACTATAGCCTTATAGTGAAGTTGAGGTTTAGGATATAGAGTTCATTATAACAAGAGTTGACTATATTACATATTATAAACTTTTAAATTATTATGTATTGTAAAAATATCAAAGTATTATATATATTGTAAACATATGAATTACTATGATATTATCATATTATACATTATAAACCTTCAAAATATTATGTGTTATAAACTTTTGAATTATTATGCATCATAAAATATTGAAATATTATAATATGTAATTTTTTGATAGGCTCATAACCTTACATAAGATTACGAGGTATAAGGTTTATGTAATACTTTATATTATTAAATTTATTGATGTAACTTAGTATTTATAGATAATACAATTTGAATTTCTAATAATATCGAAAAATTAACTTTGATCTTTGATGTTGCTTAATCCTTTTTTTGATTTTAATTCTATGAAAATTAATCATGATAAATCCTTTATTATTACTTTTAAGTTAACTACAAATAATATCTCACTTTTTAGTGATTATTTAAAAATACACGTTACTTTTCTAACTTTGAAATTTTCAGAATCAACCCATTATTTTGAAGTCTGGATCTTAACTTTATATAACAAAAATTTCATCAAATAACAAATCTCTAACGAAATTTCTAACTTTATTCTTAAACTAAAATATAAATTGTTAACTGATAAATAGCTTAAATACATTTATAATATAATTTTAATTCTATATCTAGAATATAAAGTTAGGCCTATTATTTTCTTTTATAATAAATATAATGCTTTTTTTATCAAAGTTAGAAACTTTATCAAATATAAACTTAGATTTTCTAAATTATCACTAAACAGTATCTTAACAAGCAATTTATTCTATAAATTTAATGATCTTTTATAATGATCCAATCTAAATTATAGCATTTTACTATTATGATCAATGGAAATTCAAGATATTCTTTACTTATATTATTAGATTAAAATAATTTCAAGAATATTATTAGTTATATGATAATCTTTTAGCATGTTAACCTATTCAACTTAATAATATAAGACATAATAATTTTATTAAAAATACAATTTCACTATACCTGACGTAATTATTTTTATTTCATAGGTTATTTTACATAATAAAATACTTTAAAATATATGAAGAAAATATATCTTTATTATTTTTGCTATTTTAGAAAAAAATTGAATTAGTTCTTTTAAAAACAAACAAATTTTATTCTTAGATCAACTGATTTATGATGATATAGTTTTGTCAGAACTTAATAATTTATCTCTCAAACAAACCTTAAAAAACCACTTAGATCAAGTTCAGTCTCAAAGGTTTACTATTCTTAAAAAAAATAGTTTTTATTAACCTTATATACTCTAATAGAATTAAGGATCAATTCTACATCTAAGAAATTTTCACTATCTGGATACAAATCTTTTTCTTCATATGATACAAACATTTTAGTAAATTGGATCACTTTATAGACTCTTTCTGATAATAACTACTAAACTTATCATATTTAGGATAAACTATTTTTAAAAAATCTTATAAGGTCAAAAAGTTACAAAACAAGATTATTTTTCAATATTTTTTATAAATAAATCATTCAAACAACCTTAGATCTTCCTTAAAAAAGAACAACACATTTATAGAATGCATTGGTTGCTCTTTTAACATAAACTCAGCAAAGATACTTAATTATATAAGTTATTTGATTAAATGCAGTAGTATATTAAAAATTGACCTATTTCAAATTATCAACGTGATATTTTTTTTATCAGTTAATTTTAAAAAACTATATTTTAAAAAAGAATATTAAAGCCATTTCAGATCAGACTATTTAATATTATAAAAGGATGTGTTT